AAAAAATTAATTTCTAACAAAATTTTTTTCCAAAGGGAAGAAATTATTTTTCTCGACTGTATGATAAAATTGCTATTAGCTGCTAATTTCAAGCAAATTTTATGGAATGATAGGAATTCTCGGAAGTGATACTTGACAAGAGAGAGGGAGAGAGAGAGAAAGAGAGGGAGAGAGAGAGAGAAAAGAAAAGGTGGGAATTGTAAAACGATGAATTGAATCGTGTGAAATAGCAAATGAATTGAATAATGATTAATAGAGGAATTCAATTTTTTCCATATACTACTAATTTTGCATTCAACCATTTCTCCTTTTATTTTGTTTTTTTTTTTCTGATATTAAGTAAAAATTTCATTTCTTTTTTCATTAATATATATTTTATTAAGATTAATGTATGGTATTATCGTTTTTCTTTTCCTTTTCTTTTTTTTTTTTAAATCAATATATGACGGTTATTACCATTTTTTTTAAAGTTAATTATTCTCTTTTGTTATAAATAACGATTTCAGATTTATAATTAGCAATTTTGGGTTTGTAATTAATAATTTCAGGTTTATAAATACCAATTCTAGGTTTATAATCAATAATTTCGAGTTTATGACTAATAATTTTTGATTTATAATTAATAATTTCAGAGGAATATTTCCTTTTTTATTTTTGTTTTTACTTTTGCTTCTTAATCTTCACATAATATTTCCAAATTTTTTTATACTTATGTTAATTTTTGGTAAGGAAAAAGAAATTATAAAGTAAAGTATAGAATGACGATATACTTTATTTATACTATTTTAGGTAAAACTTTCGCTTCCTCTTTCCTATCATTTACTTATTTTAAAAAATTATTCTACATATTTCCCTCTTTCCTTTTTTTTCTACTTTCTTTTTTGCTTACGTATTTTACATAAATCAATTCTCTTTTCTTCAATATTCACACTTACGTATTTTACGTATTCTACACACGTATCATCGTTACTTTATACTAATGATTACTTTTATTTCACGTAAAAATAATACTTTCACCTTTCATATTTTAATTAGTATAAAAGAAAATGAATATAAAAATTGAAAAATGCTGTCAATAAGAGAATGGACGAGAAGGGAAAAGATGGCTTCATCCCGTTTTGTTTAGTACCACACATTCTTTCTCCTCATCTTCTCTCTCCGAATTTCTTCTTCTTCCATCCAGCTTCAACCCTTTAATAATAGTTTGCGTGTGTGTGTGTGTGTGTATGTGTATAAAATGATGAAGTACCCTTTTCCTTTCTTCATTTTCTCTTGCCCTCTCTCTCCCTCCCTCTCTTTTCTCTCTCTCTCTCTCTCTCTCTCTCT